TGTAAACGCTTTACTTCTCCCATTTGTTGGATGATCTACCTTTTAAATCGTTGAATATTTTTTTAGGGTGTTTCAAGTAGGGTGTTTCAAGTAGGGTGTTACAGTTTTTGACCTCTATTTTGTCTTATAGTGAAGACAAGTTATGACGCAACGATTTGACACATCAATTACGATGTGACGAGACATCAGGGGAGATTTTCATTGGTATTTTGTCTTTTTATGACCAAATAATATATTTATAAATTTTGTAGTATTCTCTATAAAATTGTAGTGATTCAAACACTTCTACTCTTACAACCCTCAGCCCGCCACTTTGAACATACATGGAACCGTTATCATTTTGACGTAATTTCATATTTGTATTAAGAGTTGTGATAGTAGATTGTCTTTAAAGATTAAGGATTGTAAGAGTAGAAGTGTTAGATCACTACAATTTTTATAGAGAATACTACAATATTTATGTATATACTACATTTGGTCCTAAAAATAGTCTAAAAAGTAAAAAATAAATAAACTTCGACGTGTGAGTTGTGACGTGTCCAACTAATTTATTAATATTATCAATTGTCATATTGGATCAAACTAAAAGTCCAAAAATGTTACATAAATAATAAAATATTCAACATATATATATATATATATATATATATATTTATGTGTGTGTGTTATATAAAATTAAAAAATGTACAAAATATGTGCGTTTGTCCAACTAATTTATCAATATTGTCAATTACCATATTGACCGCGGTCTGATAACTCAAACCACAAACCGCACCGCGTAGTACGGTTTGGTAAAAATGCAAACCGCAAACCTTGCCGCAAAAGTTCTAAACCGCGTTGTGCGATGCGGTGTGGGCTATTTGATGGTTTTGGATGAACACCCCTAATTTTTTTAGTCTTATCAGATTATCTAACTTCGTTATGACAAGAAAAATAAAAACTTAAGTTTTGCATGATTCCTATTTGGTATAATAAAGACTTTTTTCTCAATCAATGTAACAAAGTTTCAAAATTTCATATTTAACGTAATAAAGTTCCAAATATCTTAGGGGCCGTTTACTAAACACTTACTTGGTAAGTGCTTACCGGATAAATTTTCTCATCGGATAAACATGAGAAGAGCCAAGAATCTTACAGGGTAAGAGTGATGAGAAGGATGGAGAGTCTTACCCGCTAAGTGATGATGACGACTCTTACCCATGTAAGCGCCAGTAAATTGTTGCATTCGATAGGTTTTGATATATATTAAAATCTTACGCATCAAAATAAATTTTAGTGTTGACTTCTATGGGTAAACGTTTACCGGGTAAGCAATTGGGTAAACGGCCCCTTAATGTTTATGCACTTCAACCATAACCTACTTATATCTTAACATTTGTTGATATTACCGATGACGTGAATGTCAATTTATCGTTATTTTCGTCTTAACCTTCTCATAATCCTTTCATAAATGGATATTCACATCATTAAATGTGTATAAATATAAATTTTTGAATCTTTGTTTAATTAACTGAGAAAATAATATACGTTACAATAAATACCATGAACAAACTTTATTATATTATTGATACATTTTGCCGTTATGATTATTGACGAACATTCATAAACTTTATCATTAGGCAATTTTATTAAAAGAGTGAATTACGTCGTTGGTTCATATGGTTTGCTCAAAATTGGAGGAGGAAGCTGGAAATGTTTGAGCAGGTTGTGCACGTGAAACAGTGGCGTGCGTAGGTTGTGCCACAACTTTAGCCATGGGCCAAGTCATGTAACCCACTGTTTCCCCGTTCTCAATTTTTGCACAAGTGGTGGCTTGGGGATGTATTTTGGGAACGTACCTAAGGAGGTTATTAGCGGTTCCTTTGAGGCTATATTCGAAGTAATAACTCGTTTTTTTTAATTAACCTGTATATCCAACCCGCTATGTGAGCCGACTAATCACAGAGCGACCACCTGCTTTGCAGATAGCCTGGAGTCACCGTATTTGAACCTCCGTGGCCACAAGGGGATTTTTATTTCTCTTTGGATTTGAACTTGGGACCTCCTGGTACTTTTGACCTTTGGAGCCAAGCTCAAACCAATCAGGCACTACCCTTGTGATTCTAACCTAAGAGTGTGTGATCTTCATGGCGTGAAGAGTGTGGGTGTTATCTCCTTTGTTAGATGGTAACAACCCAAGAGAAATAGTATGTCACAATGTGGATTGAGAATTCTAAGTATTAAATTGTGGTTAAAATTGGCTATCCTGCATTGATAACATGATGCCAACTCATTATATCAGGTTTCTTTGTCACCTCATCGTCCATGTAGGCTGTCCACATGTACGATAGTGCTGACGTGATATTTCTTATTATAACATTATACTTTCAAAATTACTTTATTATAAGATCACTAATTTCTATTACAACATTGTACTTTTAATTTTAATACTTTTATCATTTAAACATTATAAATTTAATCAAATATGTTTACTAAGAATTATAAATATCATAAATTAAACATGTTTACAAAAGATCACTATTTCACGAATAAAAGTATTCATAAAAACCAATTCGTTCATCGTAAATTTCATGGCTTACTTTGTAATGCCAAAAACTAAACAAGTGAAACATCTTTTCAAGAAAAAAAAACCATCATATTCACATTCGTCTAACAATAATGAATGTATATTCTTCCAAGTGTAATGGAATTATTGACACACTGCTTTTACATGAAATTCAGTCTGTTGATATGATCAAGTACAGAGTTGAGAGAGAAATCACCAATTATGTAAAAGAGGTTGGCCTTTGGGAGAAAGAGAGGGGTGGAGATGATGAGAGGCCAATAGAGACAAGAGGAGAGAGGATGGTGAGGACACCATATTGTTAAAATTACTTACTATAATAGAAATTGATGATGTTATAATAAAATGATTTTGAAAGTATAATGCTATAATAAGAAATGTCATGTCAGCACTATCGTACATGTGAACAGCCTACGTGGACGATGAGGTGGCAAAGAAACCTGGTATAATGGGTAAATTTAATTTAAAAGGTTACCTAATGTTATAACGGGTAAATTTTTTAAAGAATGCAAAAATCATTTTGTCAATTAAGTAGTTATTTAAAATAAATATCAAGATTTTAATTTAATAATGTACCGAAATCTGATTTATGATTGGATATATAAAATATTTTTTAATAAACAAACTTTTTATAAAACATGTGAATCACATTTAATTTTAGAGTAAATTACACTTTTTGTACCTATAATTTGGCCAAACATTGGTTTGTCTCGTATAATGGTACTAATTGAGGGTGTCAACTTTAGGAACCCTGAGTGTTATGAAATTGAATATTTAGGAAGCATCAGTATAAATAGTTTGTTTTTAGGTACCAAAAACCAAATTTTGAGCAAACCAGATTTTTTCAAATCATTTTTAGCAGTAAATTGATTGAAAACAAAATTCAATAGATAAAATCGATGAAATCTTAAAAGCCGATTGGAAAAAGGCATGGCTTGTTCAACCACACTTTATGATCAACAAATAAAGTCTCATTTGGTGTGCGGGATTTGGTGCGATTTGGAATTGGATTCCACTCAAATCCTGTGTTTGGTTTAAATGAAAGCTCATAATTGAAATCCCACGATCATTAGATATAGAAATTCTACAGAGGTAGTTGGTATTTCATATGATTTCGTAAGATTTGTTTGTAATAACTAGAAGGGTATTCATACAATACAACAAGATATATCTCGATTTTAATGTTTCGTTTTATTTTTTGGTCTCTGTCGATATTATGATATGGATTTATGTGGTTTTAATCAAACAATAATGTTTTTTAAAAATATAAATTTAACGATATCATAAAAACTAAAAATATATATAAAAGTTCTTTTTTGTGTAATTTCTCTGATTCAATTTTTTATTATAATTTAATTTATATTTAATGGCGAAGTAATTTGTTTTTAGTTTAATAATATATTTTTTATAAGGATAATAACTAAGTATTCTGTTAGAACTCAATAAGTATGCTAATTATAGTTTAGATATATTTAAAATGAGAATTTTATCATGTATTTGATTATATTTATCTCCAGTTAGTTACACGAATTCAAATATGGAGCTTAATAAGTTGTACATATGCAAAATTTACTCGTAATTTTGAATTTTAAATAATATGCATCAATAAAAAGTACTTCATGTATAAAAGATGGTTTTTAAGAGTTTTTGTCAAATGTTTTATAATATAGTATAGATATTCGAACATGTTAAGAACAATAGTTTTATAATAACCGATTAATAAAAGGTAATTTATTAATATGAATATTCAATATGAATATTCAATATGAATATAGGTGTGTAATTCATCACAAATGTCGTAACATATTCACCATGAATGTATGATCTATGACAAATAACACATCCATATTCATCATGAATTTGTGTGAATAACACTTCCAAATTCGTCACAAATATATTATTCATTATAAATATTCATTCTAAAGAAGAACACGTCACACTTCATGGACAGTTCCTAATAAAAAAAAATTTGATTAACCTGGATATCCAACCCGCTATGCGAGCCGACTAATCCCAGAGATATAAACGAAGATGATAACCCGTAAAATAACTCGGAGTCATCTGCTTTGCAGATAGCTCGGAATCACCGCATTTGAACCTCTGTGGCCACAAGAGGATTTTTATTCCTCCTTGGATTTGAACCCGAGACCTCTTGGTACTTTTGACCTTTAGAGTCAAGCTCAAACCAATCAGGCACCACCCTTATGATTCAGTTCCTAATCAATTTTGAGTTTATAAGAGAACTTTCCTCAGGCAAACATTATCAACTAAAAAACTGTATATCAAATCAAATGTTATATTCAGTGAAATCTTTGCAGTAAATTGATCGCAAACAGATAAAATCGATGAAACCCTAAAAGACCCAATTGGCGAAAAGCAAGATTTGTCCGATCACACCTTACAATCTAACAAATAAGTTCTTGAATCGCCATTCAAGATTTCGAGTCATTATGTTCAACAGTTTAACCAGAACACATACATAATTGCATAAAAACGACACGCCCGTCGCATCATAAAAAACAAATTCCCCAAAATAGAAACCAAAACAAAAAAAAACAACATAACAAGAATCATTCTTTTCTTACTATATTTGTGTTGATCAAAAAAGTCAAAGTCAAAGTAAAACAAAATTCATTGGTACATATTTCACAACCAAAATATACCCACAAAGAGAAATCAATTTCAATCCCTCCTCCCCCCCCTAAAAACCAAAAAATACCCATCAAATAATTCCTTTTCCAGCGCTATAACAACTTGTACGTTATGCATTAAAAGTTATACATTACCCCGGATTCGATTCTTACCGCTGGAAAAGGGCACAACTATATAAAACCAAGCAAAAAAAAACGAAAACTTTTGATCCAAACCCGTCAAACAATTTCATCCGAACCTGTTTCCGCAGTCAAATCTTTATCAATGAAATGATGCAAGAACAGTGCAATGAGCAATGGGTTTCTTCTTAAGCATGTCATGAAATCATCTTTGCTGATTTTACCGTCACCATCGGTGTCGAATAGATTGAAGAGTGTGTGCATCTGTTCGAAACAAAAAAGAACCGTTCTTACGGTTTTGAATTTCTAAGGAATGGATTGTCGATAACAGTCTCTCTACCCCTTGGGACAAAGGAAACGGTTGCATATACTTTACCCTCCTCATACCCTACTTCAGTGTAGGGTTTTTTTTATCTTTTTGTTAACCATGGGTGTCCAGGCTAGCTTGCGCGCACCTCTACTAATCCGAGGGGACTTGCAGGACTCGAACCAGTGACCTCTGAGAAAAATCCCCAAAGCCCCAAAACCTTATTGCCAATTAAGCCTACCCCACAAGGTTTTTAGTGGCACTATAACAAAATTTGGCTTTATAGGATGCCAAATATGTGTAAATGTCCAAACTGACTGCTTTATAAGAGTAAAGTTTAGTTATGTGTCCTAGATAACATGTTGCACAATAAGCTGATAGGACGTTTTTCAATATCCTAACAAGTTTTTAGGACACTGTTGAATTTGAAAAATGTTTCCTAAAGAACTTGTTAAGACGCCCAAAAATGTCTTATCAACTTATTGTAACACTTTTATATAGGGGACATAATTATTTGGTCCTACAAATTTAAGTCATATAAAGCAGTCTATTAGATGGCATCTTATAAAGCCGACTTTGGTGTAGTGTGGGTTCGTTTATAGATCGTTGACAACAACCTCTCTATCCCTTGAGGTACGGGAAACTACTGCGTACATTTTACCCTCCTCAGACCCTATGTCGGTATGGGATTTACTAGGTTCATTTGGTTACAGAAAGAACGGATAACTGACCTCGCTCGTGCTCAAGTTGGGAATGGCGGGGCTGGCGGAACCTCCAAACTGGCAGATGAAAATCAAAGCAAGTTTAAGCAGTAGACACTTCAGAAAACGAACCAAACGGAAAAAAGAACTTATAAAAAACATAAAAAATTATATATATTATTACTTCTTGTATCGAAATGTAATGATCTTTATTTTCGTCACTTTGAGTAAAGGCCATTTCACATGCTCGCCGGAATACGGGCAGCTTCAGGATGTGAGCCGATCCTACCAAAAACTGCATACATTGTCCAAACAAAAAAGAAAGGTTTATGGTGAGAAAGAAATGGAACCCATAAAAAAAAATGCAATTGCAGCTTCATTGTGTGGTCCGATTTCCATGTGACGATGAATATAAACGAAGACGATAACCCATAACATAATCCGAGTATCCGACTAAAGCAAACCACACCAAACAAACCCAGTGTATCTCACCCGAAAGTGGGTGGCGGTGAGATGTATGAAAACCTGACCTCCACACCAAAAAGTAGAGCAATTGTTTTCTTGAAGACCTCCGGCTTTGCATAGTGAGGAAAACGAAGAAAGAATTCCCACAAAGTTTCTTCTAGGGAAAGAATGAGGCCCGCAAAGAATGCCCGACAAGATTCACTACGTTTAGTAGGTCCCGATGGAATACAAATCACATGTACTTGAATTTTTGTCTCCTTCATGTCCACAAATCAATCTTTGACACATCATCACTTTATCGAAGAGAGAGAATAAAAAGATAAACTAAATAAAGTAATGATGTGTCAGGAGTTGATTGATGGGACAAGGAACAGGAGTTTGGGGACAGATGATGTGTCGGTATAAATAGAAATCGGAGCATAGACCATATCAAGAAAACTATAACCCTATAACAAACGGGACCCACTAGGGTCGATCCCAATAAGTCGAATGGAATGGGACCCGCCAAAGGTATCGTCCACTTTCCAAAAGAGAATGGGACCCGGAAAGTATGCGCTATAAGATTCCGTCTCTTTGGTGGGTCCCTTATTTTGTGATTTAGGATGAACGAAAACAAGACCCACAGAACGATAAAGGAAGATTTTTGCATCATGGTTACCTCTTTGAAGGTTATAACTCCGTTCTTGTCGACATCAATGAATCCAAAAATCTGTCACAATGAAGAAAACTTAAAAAATCAGGAAGAAGAAGAAAATAAAATATTTTTAAATTTTAATACTATATTTATCGTCTGGTTTGAACTTTATGTGTTAAAGAAACTACTATCAATTTTAAAATTTGATAAAAGTGTTGATTTTTTGAGGAAAAATCAAGAATTGCATCAAATGGTATGATAAATATTACAAATACATAAAGAAAAGTTACAAATTTGTAGAAAAATAAAAATTAATTTATAACTATAGTTTTCTTAAGCACAAATTTGACATTACATATATATATAGAGGATAAGATTCAAAGAAAAATCATTAAGAAATGGAAAACTGAGGAACACCTTAATAACCATTCATCTGTGTATGGTACGCACATGTGCATAGGAACAGAAAACATTTTCAGTTACTTTTATGCACATGTGCATATACCGTACAAATGAATGATTATTAAGGTGTTCCTCGATTTTCCATTTATTTTGTGGTTTTCCCATGAACCTGAGGATCTCTTTCTCTCTCTCTCTCTCTCTCTCTCTCTCTCTCTCTCTCTCTCTCTCTCTCTCTCTCTATATATATATATATATATATATATATATATAACAAGGGTTGGGATCCGGTGAGAAGGAGAGTTAAGGTGAAAAGTGTAAGAAGGGATCTCCATCCTTGGATGCACATTAAGATGAGATACACCAAGATAAGATGCACAGGATCAATCCCTGTATCAAGCGTTATTAATGGGTGGATTTGAGATTAAAGGTGATCAAGGGTCCAGATCCCTTCTCATGCTTCGCACCTTAACTCTCCTTCTCACACGATCCTTCGCCTATGTAAAAAAGAGGGTGATGGTTATAAAGAAATTGGAATTATTTTCCTTACCTGTTCAGAAAGGGTAGAAGGCTTCAATCTCAAAACCCTCATGAAATCATGTATTTTAACACATCCACTGCAAACAAAATGCAAGTAGTTGATATAAAGATTTCTTGTATTCCATAACAATTACCTAAAGAAATACAAGGGTCTATTTGTTTCGGGTTATCTTTTCATTTTGTGGGTCCCGTTTACTTGACGTCATGGTGATGGGACCCACAAAAGCGAAGGTGACAACAGACAAATAGGTAAATTTAACTAGAAAACTTTCCAAGTATGTAATTCCAACATAAAACTTTCCAAGAGTGGAAATGTTACTCCAAATGGAAAGAGATATAAATTTCTATGGGACAGATGGAGGACTCCCACCTAACTGCCCCTTTTGCAAATTAAGGTGGTGTTTGTTTTTTAAGAGGTGCTGAAGTCTGAAGTTTGATTTCATTTCTGATTTATAAGAGGTGGTCCTGAAGTCTAAAATCTGCATCAGTAAAATTGTTTATTTTTACTTCTGAACTTTGAAATCTTAATCGGTCAAGCTAGTGCAAAAATATAAAAGATAAATAGTTTTTTACAGAAGTATAAAAAATAAATAGTTTTTGCTAACAAATCTCTTCCGGCCCCAAAAATACGAACCATTTGATAGAAGGCGGATTAGGATTAAGAGGTATTAAGGGATACGCTACCACTAAAATTTTCAGAGAACATTTAGAAATAAAACAAACGCTCTTAATACCCAAACGTCTGAACGAATCAGACTTCAGAGGCATTAAGAGGTAATTTTGAAAAAACCACCAGGCCCTAAATGACTTCAATTCAAGAACTCAATAAAACCAAAAATGCAAAAATCTTATGCTAAAATCATCGAATTACAATATATAAATAAACTGAAAACGATGATTTTATTACTTATAGCAATATACCTGATATCAGGATTCATCGCAAGAAATCTATCCAAGAGGTCAACAGCTTCTGCAGAAGTCAAATGGCATAACTGGGAACACAAAATAAATTCCCGCTATGAAAAAAGCACATAGTTTTACAAATGTGTAATTATTACACTTTTTAATTAACTAAATGACAATTTTAACCTTTAATAATAAAGAGAGTGACGAATTTCTCCATCTCTCAATAAGGGCACAATTGGAAAGCAGACACTTACTTTTGGAAGTGGACACTTAACTTTTATATTTTTTGGTAACCGTGGGTTTCTGGGCCAGCTTACACACACCGACTAATCCCTCAGGCGACCACGAATAGCCTGGAGTTATAGCAGGTGAACCTCTGTGGCCACAAGGGCTTTCGCAGCGTCTACCTTTGAACTCGGGAAGATGAGATTTCCACTACATCCCCCCTGAGGTTGCCTTAACCGGTTCGCCACAACCCAAGTAAACACTTATTTTGGGACAAACTAAATTAAAAATGTGGACATTATTTAGGGCGGAGGGATTAGAACTATCTCCCCCCCCCCCAAAAAAAAGACCGTACCTCTATGTGAGATTTACTGGGTTTATCTGGTTTGGTTAACTCTTTTTGCCTCCATGAAATTTCAACCACTTCCACGTTGAGACATCCCATAGAAATTGTAACTTTTCCCATTTTTGGCAAATTTTCGGGCTAAAGCTACCTACTAACTTCATCATTACGAATTCTTGATTATATCTCTTTTAATCCACAAGATTGTTAATGATGGTTTGAAGGGTATCAAGAGAATTGGTCGATAGCTAACCACTTCGATTGAAACTATGTCTCTGTGCTCATATGTTGCAATTTTCACACGACACAAGGTAGGTTCCATTTTCTAACAGGAAAAAAACTATACTACGAACTCACCTTTTGAATTTTTGTCATTTCAACCATAAAGGGCGACAAGCTTTTCTGCAAAAAGAACGAAATATCGTCAACACTTTAAAATACGGAGTGTTCATAACTTGACTAACAAGACAAAATTCATGAATTTTGTGTCTTCTGGTCATTTCTAACTCACAAGCTAAACCACCCACACTGCATATATAAATGACAAGAAAATTGTAACACCTCCGTGCTATGAAAATCGCAATGTTTTATTAAACACATGGGTTTAAGAAAGTGTTATACTATTTGTGAAATGACCAAAATACCCTTCAAACCGACAACGAAATCAGTAGCATTGATTCTGTAGTGATAACTCAATAAATTAGATATATACATATCTATGCTATACTATAAAGCATTTGACAAAAACTCTTAAAAACCATTTTTCATGCATGAAGTACCATTTATTAATGCATATTACTTAAAATTCAAGATTACAAGTAAATTATATGTAAGTACAACTTATTAAAGCTTCATGTTTGAATTTGTGTAACTAACTGCAGATAAACACAATCAAATAGATGATAAACATCTCATTTTAAATATAAAAAATCTAAAATACAATTAGGATAGTGATTGACTTCTAACAAAATACTTRATTATTATCTTTATAAAAAATTATATTATTAAACCAAAAATAAAAAAAAATGAATTAAAGAAATACACAAAAAAGAAGAAATTTTAAATAGTTAGTTTGATAATGATACCAATATATTTTTTCATTTTTTTATGATATCTTCATATTTATATTTTATTCAAAAATAAAAACATTATCGCTTTCTCAAAACCACATAAAACCGTATTATAACATCAACTGAGACAAAGAAAAAATAAAACGAAACATTATATATATATATATATACCTGTCCAGCGTTGGAAGCTTTTGAAAGAAGCGCATAATCTGCAAAAGAATGACATGTTTGTACAACATTGAGAGCAGAAGCCATGGCTCTCCCAGTCTGCACAAACATAAATACTATTAGTTAAAGATGTAAACACTCAACTTTCACTAAACATACCAACCACCCACCCACCCCCCAAAAAATCCCGTTACCAAACGAACACAGTATATCCCACTCAAAAATAGGGTCTCGGGATGGATGAATGGAGACACGTCCTCTAGCCAAAAGGGTAGAGTGTCTATTTCCGTGAAGACCGCTGACTTGTGCAAAGTGTGAGCAATCACGGCTAATGACCATTCTCTGTGACTAGTTTCAACATCTTGCAAGTATGAACGAGGTGTAAAAGATATGATTCGCTTTAGTTTTGGACACGAACAACAAACTAAACCGATTCCAAATCTTTTTAACCCAACCAAACCAAAAAAGTTCATGACCCAAAGTGATCAACTACAACAATATGAATCCTTGTGATATTGATGAGTTATACTAGAAGAGATAAACTCACCCTCTCGGCAAAACGAGCTGCACTTTCTTTGTGATGTTGTGAGGGTGCCATAACGGGAAGATATTCGACCTGATTTATTTGAAACAAAACAATATCAATTCTTTTGAAATAACTTCATATCGGGAATTAGAGGTCAATAAATCTGCGTTTTTTTTTATAAAATTGAACAATCATAAATCAGTTACTAGGAAGCATACCTCGATGAAATTGTGGAATTGCATGAACATTCTAAACATGAGCATCGCAACAGTAATATGACCCCTATAGCCATGTGATGCACCATTAAAAATCATAAAACCAAAACCAAACGAACCCAGTAAATCCCACAAGTGTAGGCTCCAAGGAGGGTAAAATGTACGCGAACCATTCATTGGGAATTGTCCAAAATAGCCAATCAGGCCTCCCCTCTTCACTTTACGAACCTTTCGAACATTGTGACCGAAAATAGTCGGAAATTACGCAAGTAGCGCTTACGCAACTTGCATAACCCACTTTTTCCAATAAAATAATCAGAAAAATTAGACATTATGCAAGTTGTTAAGTGCTACTCGTGTAACGTCTAGGTGACATGTCTATAGGCAACTTGTGTAATGTCTAATTTTTCTGATTATTATATTGGAAAAAGTGGATTACAAAAGTTGCATTAGTGCTACTTACGTAATCTCCGGCTATTTTGGTCTAATGGAAACAATTTGTCTACCCCAAGAGGGTATTGTCCAAAATAGCCAATCAGGCCTCCCCTCTTCACTTTATAGCCACCTTTCCAACATTATGACCGGAATAGTTGGAGACTACGAAAGGAGCGCACTTACGCAACTTGCATAACCCACTTTTTCCAATAAAATAATCAGAATTTTTTTTTTTTTTGATTAACCTGGATATCCAACCCGCTATGCAAGCCGACTAATCCCAGGGCGACCACCTGCTTTGCAGATAGCCCGGAGTCATCGCATTTGAACCTCTGTGGCCACAAGGGGATTTTTGTTCCTCCTTGGATTTGAACCTGGGACCTCCTGGTACTTTTGACCTTTGGAGCCAAGCTCAAACCAATCAGGCACCACCCTTGTGGTTAAATTAGACATTAAGCAAGTTGCATAAGTGCTAGTCGTGTAATGTCTAGGTGGCATATCTACATCAACTTGTTTAATGCCAAATTTTTCTGATTATTTTAATGGAAAAAGTGGATTATGCAATTTGCATCAGTGTTGCTTGTGTAATCTCCGGCTATTTCTGTCAATTTCTTGAAAAGGTGGCTATAAAGTGAAGAGAGGAGGCTTGATTGGCCATTTTGGACAATTTCCCCCGTTCCTCTACCCCAAGGGGTATACAGGTTGTTTCCATGAAGACCCCTTTCTTGCGGTAAAAGAAATCTTTTTTTTTCTGTGCATAAAAGGAGGCAATCTTACCATGATTGATCAAAATGTACATGGGGATAGCGGATCACCACGGGTTGTATAGGATAACCAGGAAGAAATGCACCAAGTTGGAAAGAAATAAGCTGCCTTCCATTGGTCGTGGTTCCCTCGGGAAACAAAAGTACGCGAGGAAATCTGTTGCTAGAGGCCTTTCTCTGCATTGAGATCCTTGAAAGCACACATCTGTATCAAATTGCTTACGTATCGATAGAATGCAAGAGTTTTTCGTTTTGAAAGTATTTTGACCAGCAAAACACGTCAACCGACCATTCTTGAACTATTTTTTCTTTAACTTGTTATGTACAAAAAGAAACTTTTGGGTCACAATAATGGCAACACGTCCCTCAACACATAATTTAACGAAATACCCTTCAATAAAAGACGAATTAAAGAATCATGGACCCAAAATAAGAACGGTCAAATGGGTATTTTACTATTTACCCGTAAAATAATTTACGGGGGAGACAAGTGTGTAAAACAGGTACTTTATAGTAACTTTAAAAGCGAAACTAGAAAACCACATTTTGAATAACGAAATAGGGAAAGTGGGAAACAAACGGAAACGGAACGAACGCTTGTTACCTTTATTTCATTTACAGCATGCTTCCGTGATTGATGTGAGAAACGATTCACATATATCACCTGAAAACAAAACACAGAAAAGAAAAGTTAAATGGGAAAAGAGTCGAGATATCGAAAAAGAAGATGACATGGAACTTTTAATAACTTGAATTTACCTGCATAGCTCTAATGATGGTTCCAACAAAGGGCATGGAATCATGGGACTCTGATGCAACGATTGTTGGAGATAATTCGTAGAAAAAGAAGATTGGATCAATATATGATACATGATTAGATACAAGAATTGGAGCAACGTCCCTTGGAGCAGGTTTCCCCTTTCTATTAATCCAATGGTAGCTGCACCATGAAAAGACAAAAGAAGACGATCAATATCGACCAAAATCAGCTACAAACGGCATAAAGATCGACCTTTGAGAAATGGTTATGGGTACTAAGACTATATAACATCTATGAACTCCTTGCAACTCCGAATATATAAGTCTAAGGTGTTGCTTGATCTCCATGTTTTCAAGGCTCAAGATGAATGAAAGCAGGAAGTGAAAACTTTTAACACCCCCCCCCCCCCCAATTTACTGCAATCATGGTGGCAACCCAAAACCTATTTGTAACATCCCAGGGCAACCGTACAAGATATTGTCTGCTTTATCTATACCTGGACTCACAGTTATAAAACACGTCTGATAGAGGAGTTATCTAGTCCTTTATAAGGCAACCTTTGTTCCTCTCCCAACCGATGTAAGATCTCACAATCCGCTGGCAGACAAGTCCAATTCTCGGCTCTAATACCATTTGTATTTGTAACATCCTAGGGGAAACTATACCAGATATTGTCCGCTTCATCCACAACCAGACTCACGGTTTTAAAAACGCATTTGATAGAGGAGGTTTCCAACCCCTTATAAAGCAACCTTTGTTTCCCTACCCAACCAATGAGATTCTTGGGTACAAACTCAGGACCTCTAGGCTATCATATACAAGCTACCCCCAAGTGCATATTTTGGCCAACAATTTGAGCTAACCCAATTGCATTTTTTGCAATAGATTTCACATTCATTCATCTAAATTAGGTTCTATAGATATATATATATATATACACACACACACATGATTAAATAAAGGTTGATTTGATCTTACCCAAATGAAAATAGAATCCCCCTGGCAGTGAATCTGGTGATCCACATAACCCTACATCTCCATTTTGGCATTGGATTCTGCTTATCTTTCAAACCATGTAAAGCAAATTTTGTAGCAATATACCCAACCAACAAACACAATCCAAACAATACAAGACGAACCAAAGCTATAGGCAAAATCACCAACATCTTGACCCATTCATAAACCCCTTCAATCTTGGGTGTTTGATTTCTAAATGGATCCACCGTGGTTGACCCAGGAGCTTCAAATCCATCCGACCCAATGACCCCATAAGGGTTTTCTTGTCTTCTTATAATAAATTCATCCTCCATATCCATCATGGTGGCCGTACGAATTGAATCTTGATTTGTGGGTGTCCCAGATTGCGAATACCCATCATTGACCGTCAAGATGACTTGCGAAGGACGGGCATCAACGGCGGTTGGTTGTAAGCGGTGGCTGCCATTGGAAGATGGTAATAGAGGGCTTCTGAGGTCGGTGGCCGCTGCCATTGTTGGAAGATCATCAAAGGTGGGATCTTTTGCAGTCAAAAAGTTGAAAAGATGGAAGAAAGAGAGGGCAATTGTTCAAATTTGAGACACCATCGAGTATATTTGGGGTTCTTTTTTAAATGGTGTTTATATGGTTGTGGTGTGTTTTGGATGTTTATATATAATTCTCATTGATCGCATCTCCCATGGGGGAGAATCTTTATCGCAGGTCATTGTCTATATTTGTGTGAATTTACCAAAATACCTTTCAAGATTTGACTTTGTTCTTCAAGACGCCTTTAAATTGTTTATCATGATGACATGGGTTCATCTTTCTTGCACACAAATTTGCAATTTGCATATGAGCTTTCTTGCACACAAATTTGTACATGTATAATTAATATGATCGATAGTTTTCAAGAAATTATTTGATTAATTATTAAGAATATAACGTAAAGAAACCATTTATGTATGTGTTTATCTATACTATATTATAAAGCATTTGACAAAAAATCTTAAAAATCATTTTTTATGCATGAAGTACTGTATATTGATGCATATTACTTAAGAAAATTATATTATTAAACCAAATATAAATTACTTCGTTATTGAACATAAATTAAATAATAATTAAAAAATTACACAAAAAAACTAAAATAAGAATTTTAAATAGTTAATTTGATACTAATATCGATATTTTTGTCAAATTTTTATGATATTTTTAAATTTATATTTTATTCAAAAATAAAAATTTCATCGTTTTTTTCCAAATCATATAAGAGCGTACTATAACATCAACTGAGATAAATAATAAAATGAAATATTAAAATCAAGATATATCTCGCTGCATTGTGCGAATACCCTTCTAGTATAGTTATATGTATATAAAATAACAGGGACGTTCTAACCTTTTTGGAGACTATGTTACATTCAAAACTTTTGATTACATTGCATAAATGAGATAACAAATGATATATGTTAAGAATAAAAATGGGTTAAACGTAAAACGATTAACAATATGAAATTAAACCTAAGTCATTACTGATTTAAACCTAAAATCAAATAAGTAATGGTTTGAACCTAAATAACTTCGGCTATAGTTTTACATAGGTCGATAAAAAGACGTTAAACACATGTAAATTTGGGTCCCAAAATTTCGAAGGTCATGTTCAAAATCTCACATTTAACATACTAAGAGATGACCCATTTTTATGTAAATAATGCAGAAGAGCATCGTACCATACGTTAGTCATAGTGTTCGTATTTTAACACTATATACATACGTATTGGTGAAAAAAGTATATGAAAAAGAATAAACTTACAAGTCAATTAGAGGTAGATAAATAGAAGAGAAAATATTATTATGTCATATATGAGTGAATTACATTTTTGGTCCTTGTGGTTGACAAAAATGGTGGATTGATTCCCTTAAACGCATTAATTACACCGATGGTCCTTATATTTTATGTTTCATTACAAATTGGTCACTCTCGCTAACTTCATTTAAAAAACTATATTGATTGAAGAGCATTTTTGTCTTTTTACTCATTACTTAAAAAACCATTTAAAAACAACCAATTGGGTGTTGCCATATGTCCCCCGTTCTCCTATCGTCTCTCTATTGAAGAGCATGGGGCTGATGATTCGGGATTTAATGGATTTCGATACGATTTTTGGGTTAGGACTCAACCAAGTGTTCAACATCGAAAATTAGTTCTGTAAATGAATGAGTTTAAGCTCCTGTGATGAAACTCCAACAGATAATTCACGCGATGAAGTACCCTCTTCGAGTAGATGCTCTGTTTCAAGTTTGTGTCATGGTGCTTTACATTCATCCAGAATTATGAAAGATAATTTAATTTGCACAGCAAAAAGAAATTAGATGATAATACAGGGTGCAAAGAAGAAGAAGAAGAAGAGGGGGCAATTCATTGGTCCAATAAGAGAACGATTCCTCTCCATTGGTTCAGAAGCTTGTAAAGATGCCAATCAAGGTTTGTGACACTTTGCGAAGATAGAAGGGAGAGGAGAGGTGGGTCTTGTTGTCGAAGAATGGGGGTGAAGAGGGGTTCCCTCTGTGTGTATTACCAAGATTCCTCTCACTTAATGGAATTTATTAAAACAGTATCAGTGAGAAAGACCCAATCTGTAATAAAATTTTAAATTAGGGACCACTGATGTAATTAACGTATTTGAGTGACCCATTCCAAAAAATTTGCCTGTTGCAATTATAATATCATGGTCTAGTCAAGTTAGGTGGAAGTTAAGCTAGCTGAAGTCAGTTATTTGTCTCTCAAATTAGATAGTAGCAAATGACGTAAACAAGCAACAAATTTGGTTACGCTTTCACATTTCATCTCCTTTCTCTTGTCTCTTGTTTTTATTTCCATAAATTTCAAGATCTAACATGGTATCATAAGCAATTTTATGATCGTCTTTTGTACTTGCCAATTCGATTGATTTTTAGATTTGAAAGTCATATAAAAATCATCGACTGTTTGCTTTAAACAGTTGTAATTAATAACTGTGAAAAATGATCATTCAGATCCATATTACTTTTATCATACTCATAGTTGAGGTTTGATACTCGTTTCACAACCGCTCACAAGAGAAAATTGAAACGAGGTGGAGTTGAGCGATGTTGATCATGCTGTTCGTGAAGAATAAGGTTGGGTTCATCGATGATTTCATAAATTGGACCTCAAGGTAACAATTTCAACCTACATAATTTCTGGATTTATAACATTAATATGATAATATCATGTATTTTGAAATTAGATTTCAAAGAGTATTTATGCTAGTTTTTTTTTTTTTTTTATTAACCCGGATATCCAACCCACTATGCGAGCCGACTAATCTCAGGGTGACCACCTGCTTTGCAGATAACCCGGAGTCACCGCATTTGAACCTCCGTGACCACAAAGGGGATTTTTATTCCTCCTTGGATTTGAACCTGGGACCTTCTTGTACTTTTGACCTTTGGAGCCAAGCTCAAACCAATCAGGCACCACCCTTGTGGTTTAGTATTTTATTTGTTGCAATCACTCGTGAGATTTAGCTTGACGTAAAATATAGTTTCAACAAATAATGGCCCTAGGATTTTCGGACTAAGACGGGCTCGATTCTCCCTTGACTCTATGGGATTTTGGGAGCTGATGAAGCCAAAATCATAATTTGATAAGCCCTTATTTCACATAAATGTAAACTATAAGGGATTACTGAATAATTGAACGTCTGTATGTTTATGTGAAGTACTCTTGTGGTAGTTAAAACAACTTAATGATCATCATCATAACAAATACACGATATCTTTTTAACGGGGATTCAAGAATCCTTCTTATTAGAGGTCATAAACTTCTAATGGATCAAATGTCTATCTTCAAATGCAAGATATGCAACCAGGGTTGTCACTTAGTATGTTAAATGTGAGATTTTGAACAGGGCCTTCGAAATTTTGGGGTCCAAATTTACATGTGTTTAGAGTCTTTTTATCGACCTGTGTAAAACTATAGCCGAAATTATTTAGGCTCAGACCATTAATTGTTTGGTTTTATGTTCAAATCATTAATGGTTTAGGTTTAGTTTCATATTATTAATCGTTTTAGGTTTAGCCCATTTTTGTTCTTAACATATATTCTATGTTATTTCATTTATGCAATGTAATCAAAAGTTTCGGATGTAACAGAACTTCCAAAAAGATTGGAACATCCCTGTATGCAACCGTGACAAATAGGAATACTACATAGAAAAAGTCATATTGTACGCATTGCCACATTTCTGGATATACATATAATACTACCATAGATAGTCATGCTCCCAATAAAATAGTTTATCATAATAATAAGTTGAGATCTTATAAGTATCGCATGATATGGCCGCTAATCTATATATATATATATATATATATATATATATATATTAAAGGAGAAACCAACTAGAATGACATGACACCATGAGATTTGAGTATTCATCAAATCTTGAATCTTGAAATGTGGTTAAATTTGCTTATCCCACATTAATGGGAAGAAAAAAAAAGGTAGAAGGAATGAAATGTGTATATATATGAAAAGAGGAGGTGATTATTTTTGTTGGAAGTCATGATGTTGGCTCAAATGAGTCAACCATTTCATTTGCAATTGTCGTTATGAGATTTGAGTATTTTTCTTCAATCTTGAAATGTGGTTAAGTTTGTTTATATCATATAAAAAAATAACTTCAAAATATTGAGATGACATCTTGTTTACTAAATGGTTAGGACAGGAGCTAACAGGCCCTTACCTCCTGATCCTTGCAACGTACACCTGTCTACTCAAACCCCGATGCCCAGTAGCGAAACTATACATACCACCAAAACATTTAAAACATGTGTAACGAAAAATAAACTTATTAAACCATTTAGCATGATTGTCTCCTATTTACACCATATACATGCAATATATAACATGTACACGTATCATCCTTTATAACATTACGTCACATATACGTTCATGCATAAAATATATTTTTTATACATAACATTCATCTTAAGGTGAAGCTCAGGAAAACTAGTTTGGTGTTATTGGGTAACTTGAAAACGATTATAGATTAATCATGCTACCTACGGTATCACCTACATGTCATACGAGCCCTACAAGGTCAAACAATAACCCTTACATTCTTACATATATCCCTAATCACGCACCTTAACATGACCAAAGTCGACTAAACTGGAACCTCGTAATTCCAGCACCAAACCCGTTTTAGAAACTAATAATTTATCCTACCTTCGGAAGGTTTCAGGGTGCAATACATCCAACACTCGCTTGCTTTACTTACCATCTGTCACATTCCGTAGACAAGAGATGAACGTGAACGATGCTTCAAAAAGGGAGGAAAGGTGAATGTATCATCTTCATAATCTGATACATTAAATAACACCAGCAACATTACAAAAGTGCCCCTAAAACGAGGTGTTACATTTAAACATACCCATAAAATATGCTTAATTTTGTCATAGTGTTTTCTATGTACGATGCAGATCAAACAGGTGTCCATATAAAATCATACTAAAAGGGGGTATTTGTAATTTAGAGAAGATCTAGGGTATGAATTGTAAGATGGATTAAAGTATAA